TCCCCCAAGAAATGGCCCAGTTTCCCTTGAACCAAATCTTACTTTTGCTGTTCCGTTATTTCAGGCAATCCAGATTTTCTGGGAAAGCATTAATTGCAAACAACCAATTAGTTCATCTTCTGTAGCACAGTCATTTATATTTGCACTGAATTTATAGTTCCTTCCATCTAAAGGTCATTGTTTTCAACAAAGATAATGTATTAAATGTACAGAGAAATTGAGTTGAATTTTAATACTTGATAAGCCTATTATTATTATTATTATTATTATTAATTTTTGCTATGAAAAGTATCCAACACAGGGTCTCATTCATGTTAGCCAAACACATCCCCAGCCCTTTGAGATTCTTTTGTTGGATAAAAAATGGCTTATACTGTGCATCCTAGTTCTGATTCAGAAATATAAGCCTTTTCCCTGTCCCCCGCACACGAGCCCAGGATTTGATGTGAATACATAAGTTCCAAGGGCTCTCCCATCTTGCTGGTGTCTGCTCTCTCGTTGGTCATCACTGGGACCTGAAATCATGATTCCTAGGATCAAGCGTGGACTTTGGGTACAGAGACTCAAGTCCAATTCAAATTCTGTTCTGTTTTTAGCTGTGTGACCCCAGAGCCTTGATGCTTACATGCTTCACTACCTTCCCAGGGGACGGGCACAGGCTCCTTCTCAGGGGAAATGTCAGCTCCTCAGGAGGAGTTGCCCAGGCCACTTCCCAGCGGGCTCCCGCCCTCCTCACACCAGCCCCTCTGGGTCCCTCCGTAAGTCCTCAGCGTGTCCCTCTGGTTTTCCAGTCTTCAAAGGCAGGGACTTGGTGTCATGCAGGCTTTCGTGATGGAGCCATGTGAGGACCTTGGCCAGCCACATTACTCAGGGCCTCAGATTTCTCAACTGTGAGATCTGCATGAGGGCTAAAGGGGACAATGACATCCACAGTTCTCTGTGCCCTTGCTTCTGGAGGTCTGTCTGGATGGGACGCATGAGCCAGGACTTGTCAGGGTCACAGGCTGAGGCAGTTCCCATGCTGCCCCATCTCCCTCTCCTCCCAGTTCTCAAGGACGCCTACCCGTCTTTCCTTTCCTCCTCGCCCCATCCTCACCAGCATTTCTGATGCTGGAGGGTTTTTCTGGGAAGGGGCTGAGGTGTGAATCCCTTGGAAGCCAGCAAGCGCCAGTGGTCAGAGCTGCAAAGACAGTTCAGCTTTACTCACCCCTCTCAAGGGCTCCCCAAGTCAGAGTAAACCCTTGCAAAGTGGGGGATGGTCAGGAACAACTGCCAGAGGCCAAAGTCCACATTTCCCATTTCCCGTGTTGGGTGGGCTCCATTCACTGGGCTCAGGTCCCCCTTCTGCATCTCCTCTCCTGACCCAAGTCTAGGCCAAGTCCTCCCTGCAAAAATCGGCTTGGGATTCTCCCTCCCCAAGCCCAGCTCCCCAGGGCAGCCCTAAAGGCTTTGTTAGGCCAGTGTGGTCTGCCCCCCCTTCACCTCCAGCTCTCTGGGCAACCTCGGACACAACCATTCATTCATATAATTTATAATATCGAACACTGTAGGGGAAGAAGGGCTTTCTCAGGCCCCCTAGAGTTCCTGGCTAGGTCTGAAATAAAATGGACAAAGACAGATGGATGGGAGAAAAGCATAACGAATTCATTTCATCCGTTTTATGTGACATGGGCGCCTTCAGAATGAAGACCCAAAGACCTGGGGGTGAACTCTGCATTCTGCTTAGGTTTTAAAAAAGCATCAAATCATAGAAATACGATGGGGCAAAAGGGTGTGATTTAATGGGGAGACTCAGTGGGACCCAGTGGACACCCAGTAAGGCCTGTCTGTTCCCACTTGGCCTCCCAGCTGGGAGGACGGTCTTGTGACCTATCACCAATTACAGGTCAGAGAATTTCTCTCTGGCAGCTCTTACACAGAAAGGAGTTATATTTCCAGGTTTTATGACTTGCTTTGGGGAAGGGCATTGGGGAAGAGGAATTCTAGTTTCCAAGATCCACGTTAGTGGGAAAGGGGAGAAGGAAAAAGGAGGACAGGAGGTCAGAAAGACCTTCCTTCGTGCCCTCTCAGGTTTCCTTCAGCCTGGGTGCCATACTGTGGGGTACCTGCTCTGAGCCCTAACGACTGCTAGGTACCAGTTACTCTTCTAGGCCTCAGGGGATTCACCAATAAACCAAACAGATGAAATTCCTCAAGGTGGATGCCCAAGTTCCTAGGAGCAGACATTCTGCGGGGTAGAGAGACAAAGAACATAATGAATCAAAGAAAAATATAGAATGGAGATAAGTTTAAGGAGAAAGTTCAGCAGACACAGTGGGTGGGGAGCCCATGGTGTGGGGTTCACTTCCTGCCTACCAGGTTCCACTTCCTCTTTGGTCTCAAGGCCACACAATTTAGAAAGCAGTGAAGCCAGTACGTGCACCCAGGTCAAATCCATGTCTTTAAAAAGTGACTCTTGGGGCTGGCATGTAGCTCTGTGGTGAAGCTCTTGCTTAGCAGAGTTCAATCCCCAGAACCACAAAAGAATTAAAAAATTTAAAGACTTCTGACCACGTGGATGGGCCCCTAAATCCAAGTGGTAAATGTGGTTTGCTTTTTATTTCAGTAATAATTCATTTCATTTCAATAATCAAACTAAAAGGATTTCACGTGCATATTACGTTACAGCTTTTATTTATTGAGGGATGCAATAAATAAACGTATTCCTTTCTTACAAAATTTTAATGGCCTGAGGAGAGAATTTAGCGTACCCGTCAGCTGAATGGTTGAATTTAGGGGAAAAACTGATCGGGGGATGAGGTCACTGCGGTTCTGCAAGGTGAATCGAGGTCACTCGCCAAGGCGACAGCCCAAGCAGAACCGGATTCGCCAGATTCCCTGGTCCTGCCTTAACCCTTCCCGGCACCAAGCCGCTGCAGAGGGCACTCAGGGCAGGTTTCCCGGAATGTCGCCAGGGGGAGACCGAGAGCAATTACCAGCACCGCGGGGGATGAGGTCCCCAGGCCAGGACAAGGGCAGGCGAGGGAGGGCTTTGGTAGAGGGAGAAACACTATGACACCACGGCTAGGATGTCTGCCCTCCTACTCTCCTATTTGCAGGAAGGTTCCCACCAGTATCTTCTTCGCACTGTTGCCGCCTGGGCCTCTCAAAAATCTGACCACCCCTAAGGCTCTTGAACACCTCCAACACAGCTTTCGGGACAAAAAAAAAAAAAAAAGCCGACCACGGGATCCGCGTGATCTTGCCCACCTTCCCCAGACGCCGCTGGAGCCGCACTGAAATTCTTCCAATTCCCTGAATTCCCCTTACTCTTTCTCCCCGAATATCCTTGTCACACCAGGTCCACCGGGGAAACCCGACTGTTTTCAGCTAAACGTCACCTCTGAGTCCTCCCCTGGCAAGACCCCCGGAGCCTCGCCCCACACCACCCCCAGTTTGGGGAAGTGGCCACTCCTGTGTTGCCATTATTCCTCGGGCTTCCGCCACCATCGCGCGTGACAGATATCTGGCCCTATCTTTCTCCTCCAATGCCTAACACGGAACAAAGCAAATGCAGTGAGTTCATTAAACGTTGGCAAGCTGAATGCAAGAGGCAGGACAAGGGATCAGGCTGTCACCGGGACCTCTGGCAAACCACCTGGCTCTCGGGTTTGCTGTGAGGAGTGAGGGACTAGTGTGTGTGTGTGTGTGTGTGTGTGTGTGTGTGTGTGTGTGTACATATCTACATAAACACACAATGTACATATACAAACACACACATTATGCTTATTATGCTTAGAGCAATGCCTGCAACACCGTAAGCACTTACTTTCGTCATTTTCACAGCGGCCAATATGGGTTATTGCCCTTTTAAGGCTACCCTCCCAACTTCACGTCTAAACGGAAGTACCCCTAGGGCTCCGGAAGTGACCTCAGAGCCCCTCAGAAACATGGCCCCGGAGCGCCCTTCCGGAAGCGGTCACAAGTATCTCCGTGACGCAGAACGAGTTAGAGCGTCCCGTAGGGTTTCCATGGTGTTGCCCTCAGCACCCCGTCTCTCCGCTTCCTCTCCCGCCTGAACACCGGGAACGGGAAGGCAGGCGGCGGGTCCTTCCCAGCACCGCCTCCCCGTCTGGGGGAGGGGTTGGACGAGCGGGTGACGCTCTGGGCGAGCTCGTCCGCTTCTCTATGGTGCCCAGCGCTCCTGCGCGCCGCTCCAGCGCGTTGTTGGAGCGGACGCTGCCCCTTTAATCGACAGAGGGCGGTGCCGAGGAGGTCCCGCGAGAGCTGCGGGGGGCGGGGGGCGGTGCCGAGCCGGGGGCCCGTGGCGGATGGAGCCAGCGATGGAGCCGGAGACTCTGGAGGCGCGAATCAGTGAGTGTCCGGGAGGGGCGCGGGCCGGACCGGAACCGGAACCGGGGGCGCGAGGCAGGCCCCTTCCCGGCGGGGGCGGGGTACGCGGCGCCCCCTCCTCACGCCCCGCCCCCGGCTCGGGAGGGGCGGTGTCCCGAGTCGGCCCCTCCGACCCTGACCTGCGAGAAGACCCCGCGGGCTGCGCCGCCGCGCGGTGGCAGCAGGCACCGCCCACCCACCCGTGCTGGGGCCTGGACCCCGAGCCGGGCGGGAGTGAGCTGCGCCCGAACCCCCGGTCCGGAGGGCAGCCTTCAGCCCCCTCAGGCCCGGGCTGCTCCGCCGAAGAGCAGGCCCCCGAGTTTTCGCTTGGGCCCAGGGAGGGAGCGAAGGAGCGGTCCCCAGGGCTGCATCTCAGACCCCGAAAGGACGCACCCTTCTCAGGCCCCTTTCACTCTAGGGCCCTGGGTGGAGCGGTACCCTCCTGTCCATCCTGGATCCTGCAACTACTCTCAGATTTGCTCTTTCCCCGTCCAGACGGGGATAGTCAGGATTCCCCCGCGGTCCCCACCGTGAGGCACCCCCAAGACCTGCATGCTTGGAGGGTCCGGTCCCAGGCTCCATAAGTAAATCCAAGTTCGCTGTCACTACCCCCAGCCCGGTCCTCTTACTCTGCATCTCCGTCCACGATTGCTTTCCCAGCTCTTCCCGAGCTTCCTCCAAAGGCCTCTGCACCTTTTCCCAGTCTGTCCCCAGAGACAGCGTCCTGCTCAGGCTTCTGAACCCCCACGCCCTCCAGCTGAGCTGCCTGTCCTGCAATGCTGAGGATCCTCAGCCCTCACTATCCCCCTCCTAGACTCTGCCCTCCGAAGCCATGATTTGCTTCTCACTGGTCTAGTGACAGCTCTCTTCCAAGGCTTTTCCTCCTTTGACCCCTTGTCTGGGCCAGGTCTGCAGGGAAGCCTCTTGGGCCCTGACATACCAGGGAGCTTTGCAGGGTGGTTTGGGGTCGTGACCAGCCCCTTTTAAGCCATTCTTGAGCAGAGTTGAACTCTGAGTTGGCCTTGGAACCACGCCATCCCCAGGGATGTGTCAATCAGTCTGGCCAGTGTGGGGAATGTGGTGGGTAAAAAGGAGGCACTCAGAGGCCATTGACTGTTCCAGAATGCTACAAGTGTCCAGGTCTCAGCAGCAACTCGGAAGGTTGGGTTGGGCCCTGGCTGACTGATTTCAAGCTGATTGAAAACTTTTTAAGTTCTTTTTTAAAATATTTATTTTTTAGTTGTAGTTGTCAATACCTTTATTTTATTCCTTTATTTTTATGTGGTGCTGAGGATCGAACCCAGGGCCTCGCACGTGCTAGGTGAGCGCTCTACCACTGAGCCACCACCCCAGCCCCAAGACAATTTTTAAGTCTGAGTGATGCACAACAGTCTCAGGTGTAGCTCAGGGGTAGAGCCTGGCCTGGCATGCACCATCCCTGCATGGTGGGTTGGGGGCTCAGCTGGAGGGACAGATTTAGCAACAGTGGGAATTTTCAGAGAGGCCAGAGTCCAGAAACAGGCAGAAGTTGGGGACACCTGGGTTTGACCAGTTCTGGATAAATTAGGGCTGAGATTGTTTTGTCTTTTTCTTTCCCTTTGAATCCTAGCAAAATTTTGAGCTTTTCCTTAGTGGCGGTTGGAGGTAGTTGATGATATTGTCACTACCTTGGAGTGACAGGGTGGAGTTGCACCCTGTTGTGAAACCCTCCCTCTCTCCTCTCCCAAGGCGCTCTCCCCTGCTGCCTGCCAGGGAAGGTCTTGCCCAGATAGAGTTGAGAGGGCCAGGGCAGTGGGTCAGGTCTTCTTGGACTTTAAGCCAGATGAAGGGGAGAGCCGGTGGCCTGTAAGACCCACGCTTCCTCCACAAGTTGTTTCCAGAATCAGTGATAGTGTCCTTATTCAGGCTCACATGTCCTTGACACTTTAGGAGACTTCCTATTTTGCCCACCCCACCCCCAGCTGAGTGTCATCAAGTGGACAGGGCCTCCCTCCTTCTGACTGGTGTTCCCCAGCCTTTGGCCATGTTCGGGGCCTGGGAGGTGGCGTATATAGGGGAGGGCATATTCCTGGTATTTCCAGGGGTTCAGCAAGGTTTTCTGTTCCATTAAGGGAATGAGAGGTCCTGCTGGGCTCCTGAGACAGAAACTTAGACCTAGGAAGAAAGTGCTTTACTTGATTCAGCCCATCTTCTCTGAGCAGTCCCAGGGAATGGCCACCCCCAGTGTCTTCTGCGCCACCTTTTGCTCTTTACTTTACATTACCTTGCAACAGACAGTATGCAGTATCCTGTGTTTGTCCATTAGTCTTAGCATTGTGTTCCTCTTGCAGGGCCATTGGCTGCAGGAGGCAAGTGTTTAATCTTGTTTGCTGCACTAGGCGCAGCACCCCAGGCTTACTGAATAAATATGCCCTGAGTGGATGGCTCTCAGGCACTGGGACCCCAGGCTCTGGCCCCCTGCCACAGCTTAGGGCCCTGGGACAGGCACCACATGCTGGGCCCCCAACTTCCTGCTCTATAGAGCCTTCTGTGTCCCACCTCCTGGGCTCTGTTCCCTCCACATCCAGCTCAGTGTCCAGATGTGGGCAGAACTGGCTGGGAACAGGTGAAGCTCAGAGACGGGCTGTGAGGAGCGAGGGTCCCCCTCCAGCTTCCCAGGGCCTTGCCATGCACAAAGCGTTTTGTCATCTGAAATTAGTCCCTGTTTCATTCTGACTTTACAAGTGGGGAGTTGGAGGTTCAGGGAAGTTATGACCTACTTTGTTTCTTAAACAATGTTGGGGTCAAGGGACAAGTGTCTGGTCTCAATTCCCATCTCCTTTCTGTAGATGACCTCACCCCCACGTGCTCACAGCTGACCCCTCATTTATGGTGCATTTTCCACTGGCTGAGGGGAGAGGGGTGTACACAGCGGCTGTGACACAGGATGATAGCAGACTTGGGTCTGCAGTCCAGAGGACACAGAGAAAGAACTCACCCCACACTGCTACCTGGGCAGTGGAGAGCTCAGGAGGACTGCCTGGAGGAGGTGGCACTGAGCCACACCCCAGAGAAGGGCCAGCATGACAACAAAACCCGCTTTCCTTTCCAAGGGCCTCACACCCTCCTGTGCTCAGCTCTGTGAACTGGTCACAGGCCGGCCCCCAGCTCAGGTGACTCCTTCCAGTCCCTGCTGAGTGCTTCATCTTCCAGACAGCTTCCCCTGTCCCCCGAATGCCCTGCCTCCTCATCTGGGCCCCATAGCTCCTTTGCCTCCCTCTGTCAGTGACAGAACCTAGCTTCTCTTGGCCCACTGCCTGGCCACTCAGCTCCTTGAGAGTGGGACCATGGCTTCCCCACCTCTTACTTCTGGATCTTTTCTGAGCATAAATTCCAGAAGCAGAATCAGCAGAGCTGAAGTTGGTGTGGCAGGGGTACAACTGTAAGGAAGAGGAGACAGGAGGAGGAAAGTGACCTGGGCAGAGCCTCTAACAGTGGGGCCCAGTGGTGGGAAGCTGAGCGGAGGCCTGCCCAGGTCCTTACCTGTTCACCTACCGGATTGGAGCTTGGAGCGTGTGCGCACAGGTCTTGGGACTGTCTGGGCAGGAAGTGAAGCGAGGCCACTGCTGTGTGCTTGTCAAGTCCCTCCTGCTCCCAGCATGGGGTCGGGGAGCAGGGGCCCCTCTGCCTGGCTACTCTGATGCTCCCCTCCTCCTGCAGACAGAGCCACAAACCCCCTGAACAAGGAGCTGAACTGGGCCAGCATCAACGGCTTCTGTGAGCAGCTCAACGAGGACTTTGAGGGGTAGGTGGCCCTCTCTTCATACTCCTCAGAACACTCTACTTGCAGCGTGCACCTGCCTGGCCATGGGTGAAAGGACCTGCCTCCTCACCGGATGGAGCGCTTCCCAGTTAGCAACAGTAGTGGGCCTTTGAGTCCAGGGCTACTTGTGTGTCATTCTGAGTTGTGCCTTGTGGGGCCCATTTATAGGTTAAGACCCTGAGGCTCAGGGGATGAGCAGTTGGCCCCGAGATGTGATCGGGAGGCAAGGGCACTGGGCCTGCCCACCCCAACCCCCGCTGGTGGATTTGTTGGGGGCCCTGCCAGGAGAGCCACATGCTCCCAGCAGACTTTTTGCTCAAGGAAGAACCATACCCACCTTGGTGAGCCGCCTGGCGTGCCTGCCAGGACACACATTCTTGGGCTGCCTGAGCTTAGCTGTTGGCAGGGGCTGAGGGGTGGGCATTCTTTTTGTGGTACTGGGGATTAAGACCAGGGACCCTTTACCACTGAGCTATATCCCCAGGCTTTTTAAAAATTTCATTTTGACAACAGGATTTTGCTAAGTTACTGAGGCTGGCCTTAAATGTGGGATCCTCAGCCGAGTGTGATGGCCCATGCCTGTAATCCCAGTGGCTTAGGAGGCTGAGGCAGGAGGATCCCGAGTTCAAAGCCAGCCTCAGCAAAAGCGAGGTGCTAAGCAACTCAGTGAGGCCCTGTCCCCAAATAAAATACAAAATAGGGCTGGAGGTGTGGCTCAATAGCTGGGTGCCCCCAAGTTCAATCCCCAGTACCCTCCCCCCACAAAAAAAGTGTGGGATCCTCCTGCACCTCAGCCTCCTGAGTCAGTGGGGCTCTAGCTGGAAATATGTGTCCCTACAGGCTCCTCGAGGGGCTGAGACAGGGACACAGCCCTGTGTGCTTCTTCTCTGCCCCACTTTCACCAGGGCCAGGGCTGCCTGGGGGCGAATCCCACCCTCTCTCTGCGGAGTGACCTTGTGGCCGAGTCACTCGGAGCTCAGTTTCTTCAGCTGTCAGGTGGAATGATGTGCTGCCCGCCTGGGGCTGCTGAAGGCTCCCTGGCCACCTCATGAGGCTCAGGTGGGAAAGCGCAGGAGGCGCTCCGTGTCACCAGTGCTCAGCAAGTACTACCTGCACTGACTCCGGCAGTGATCTTTTGTGATCTGGTTGACATTGTCACCTCCTCCACCATGAAGGTGCTCTGATTTTCCCGGCAGGAAGTACCCTGCCATCTTGAGTCCCCAGGGAACTGTGCCTGTCACTCCTGCCACATCATTCATGGGTCACTCCCAGATGGGCCCTGAGAAGGCTCTGCTCCTCTGTCCAGGCTTGTCTCTGCAACAAGCAGGGGACAAGACCAGTCGTATTTCTTTTTTTTTTTTTAAGAGAGAGAGAGAGAATTTTTTAATATTTATTTTTTTTAGTTCTCGGCGGACACAACATCTTTGTTGGTATGTGGTGCTGAGGATCGAACCCGGGCCGCATGCATGCCAGGCGAGCGCGCTACCGCTTGAGCCACATCCCCAGCCCACCAATTGTATTTCTTTTTTTTTTTTTTTAAAGAGAGAGTGAGAGAGAGAGAAGGAGAGAGAGATAGAATTTTTAATATTCATTTTTAGTTTCGGCGGACACAACATCTTTGTTGGTATGTGGTGCTGAGGATTGAACCCGGGCCGCACGTGTGCCAGGCGAGCGCACTACCGCTTGAACCACATCCCCAGCCCCCAGTTGTATTTCTTAAAACCAGCCAAAGGCTCAGCTTGCTTTAGGGCCTGCCTGGCCCTGCCCTGCCACCACCCAGCTCCCCATCTGATCCAGAGGGGGCCTTTTCGTATCCCTGCAGAAGCCACAAAGTGCTGAACTCCTCGCGGGCTGCCCTTTCCCTCCCCTGGGGTGACTGGGCTTTATGGCAACCCTGACTCTGTGTTGTTTCTCCCACCCAGGCCTCCACTTGCCACCCGGCTGCTGGCCCACAAGATCCAGTCCCCACAAGAGTGGGAGGCCATCCAGGCCCTGACGGTGAGAAGGGGACAGAGGGTACCGTCTGTCCCCAG